TAGCTTCCCCGTCCAGCCTAGCGCTTGACGGCTGGTCCCCGCTAATCATCGTCTATTATGGGTGGCCCCCCTCTCTGCTGCTAGGTGGGGGGCGGCCCTACCTATCCAGAGCTGGGGATACCAGGGAACAAACCCCCCTCTGGGGTAAGGGACCTGGCTTGGGGGAGGGCCGCTGGGGCTGGCCTTGTGTGCCCTGGTGCAACGTCCGCAGGCTAAGACACCCAGCTGGGAGCCGACCGATGGGCTTATATGGTAACATGGTGCGTTGGCCCCCTCCCTGTGCCCGCAGCCGTCACATCCCCAAGCCCATGGGGGCAGGTGGCATTAGTCAGCAAGCGTGTCCGGTGCCACGCTAAGCCCTGCCCGCCTCGTAAACAAGCTGCACAGCTCCCACACGTGTGTTTCTCTCAGCATCAAAGGACTGCGGCCCCAGGCCACGAGGAGCAGGGATGACTGATGGGGATGGGCAGGAGGCAGGGGGAGAACAGGGCCTGGACAGCTGGCAGGGCTCTCTCCAGGACAGTCACTCGGCTGGGTCCCTGCATCGGTAGCCACAGGCGTTCCCCTGGCAGCGCTACTAGGGGCAGCACTGGAAAGGGCGATGGAGCTGGGCTGCCTTGTGGCCCCTTTCCAGGTGGTGGCCACACCTGCCTGCAGCAGAGCCCCGAGTCCCAGTAGGAGGAGAGGGGCTGGTTTGAACACAGGACACCTGGGTTCTGTTACCAGGCCCGAGGAGTCCTGCCCACCGTGAAGGGAAGGGGCAAATCAGAGCAGCAGCTCCAGAGCTTTAGAAATAGGAGGCAACATTGTCCAGCGGTAAGATCAGAGGTGGGAGTAGGGGAGGAGTAAAGACACCGGAGTGTTATTTCCTGCTTTGCCATTGATTCCTTGTGTGACCTGGGGCAAGGTGTATCTGTGCCTCAGTTTCCCCTTCTCCTGTATGTGGGCTGCTGATCCTGCCTGGCCTCCGGAACTTGCTTTGAGATGCTCAGCAGCAAGCACTCTGAGAGCAGTGTCCCATGGACTGCTGGGAGCCAACAGGGGGAGGAGGCCCCGCCCGTCACAGGGGATCCAGCCCCACTTTCCCTCTAGGGCAGCAGCTCCGATGCAGCTGGCCCTCAGGGTAGGATAAGTGGGGGTGTGATTAGGTGGCCGTTGGGTCATAGCAGAGAGGGGGGAAGACGCCCTCAGCTTTGGCGTGTGCCTGCGAGCCAGTGGACGCTGGAGGCAGAAGTGCAGGGACTTCGTGATTGAGCTCCGGCTGTCTCCACGGGTGCTGGGCACTTGGCAGGGCTGAGGCAGGCACAGGCCCATGCAGCATCCAGGGCTGGCCCAGCCCACAAATGGCACCACCCTGGGCTGCCACCCCAGGGCACCATCCTGCTTGCTGACCCTTCTGGCTAAGCTGTGGCATGAACGGCTCCCAGAGCTGTCACCAGGGGGACGGCGGCAGGCAGGCAGGCAGGCAGCCTCGCGGCCAAGCGCCCCATGCCCTGGTATATTTATACCCCTGGGATCAGCCTGCAAAAGGCAGTGAGGGTGATCGGGTTACGGGACAGCACAGAGTCACCCTCAAGGAGAGAAACGAGGCCAAAGGTTTGCTGGCCAGCACTGGTCCCCACACTCAGGAATCGGGGCTAGATTCTACCACCTCCAATGGCACCTCCCTTGCTTTCTCCTCTTCCTCAGCTAGACAAAGGCTGCTGCCAGTATACCCTCCCCCCACAGCTGCCCCTCGGCTGCTATCAGTCAAGTGCATCGTTCGGCCTTCCCAGCCGGAAAGGTTATAAGCCCTAAAATTTACACGTCTAGCAGCTGGAAACAGCCTATTAAAGCTGGCGGCCCAGCTGTCCTTAGGGACGCTGAGCCGTGTGTGTGTGTGTTGGGCAGAAAGGAGGGCAGGCTCATGGGGGATGAGCCAGATCATGCCAGCCTCTGGTGGGGGGCACCACAACCAGGGCCCATCTGCTCTCTGGGTGCTGAGTTCCCCCTGCCTGCCATTAGCGCCAGTAGGCCCAGCAGGCCTGGGCCCCAGAGGGAACTCCAGCTCCTGCCACAGCCAGGGCCAGCACCCTTCCTGCAGCCTCGGCCCCTTTCACACCCTGCTGGCACTGGCACCCAGTCCCATGTTCTTCCCCTGCAGCACTCTGCCGGCCATTCGGGGCGATTCATCCCCGGAGCATGACCTCCAACCACAGGGACCCCAGAGGGCATGGCAGCAGGCCTGGGCCCCAGAGGGAACTCCAGCTCCTGCCACAGCCAGGGCCAGCACCCTTCCTGCAGCCTCGGCCCCTTTCACACCCTGCTGGCACTGGCACCCAGTCCCATGTTCTTCCCCTGCAGCACTCTGCCGGCCATTCGGGGCGATTCATCCCCGGAGCATGACCTCCAACCACAGGGACCCCAGAGGGCATGGCAGCCCGACACCCACTGCCTATTTATAGGCAGGAGCCTGATCTATGGCCAGCCAGGGCCTTGTTCAGGACCAGGACGCATGGCAGAGCGGTGCTCACAAGGTGTCTGCAGAGCAGCTTCTGAACTGCCTCTGTCTAGGCAGACTCGGGGCAGAACCACCTCCTGCAGCTCTGGCATTGTGCCAAGCATCCCCCACTCCCTCCTGAGGTTCTCCTCCATGCCTACTCCACCCCCAAGCCCAGGGTCACAGGGAGTGTGAATTCCCTCTGTGGCCTTGGACATGGGTTAAGGGGAGCTGGCCAGGCCCTGCCTGTATTCTGGGTGTGTCCATGTGGTCCTTTCATTCTCACCCTCTGGCGCACAGATTAACAGCTCCAGACTCGGAGCCCGCTCGGGGTCAGGAGGATCCAGCCAATTGGCCCTTTCCCCCTCACTGCATTGGAGGCAGAGCGCCTGGGGGTACAGGCTGAGAAGCAGCACCCGCCGTGAAGCTGATGCCGCCAGGGAGGAAACATTCCCACAGCACAGATTTGGATTTAACGCTGATGGTAATGGCTAGATTGGGGCCCCCTTACGCCAGGCACTGCAGACCCGGCCTGCGAGACAGCCCCTCCCTTACAGCGCTCATAGGCAGATCCACACAAGGTAGGAGGGGGCAATGGACTTGTCCAATCTCATGGAGCAGGCAAGTAGCAGAACCAGGAAGAGTTTGGCTGTCCTGTGTCCCAGGCACTAGAAATGTTGAGGGGGGAGCCAGCAGACTGGCTGCGGCTGCACCTCCCCGTAACTGAGCTTTTGGCGCCCTCTGGGAGCTCTGAGAGCTGCATGGAGGAACACCAGGGCTGGGAACTTCACAACCCTTCCCCCCGCCCCGCAAGCTCTGGTGCAGATCCAGAGAGTCTGCCCAGTGCTGCTCTACACCCCATCCTCGCTGAGCTGAAGAAGACACAAATCACGTTCACAAGCAGCTCTGCGGGGGGGTCGAGGACTTGGACTCCCACCCTTGATGGTCACTTTCCAAGCCGAGCTGATCTCTCTCTGCCTGAGCTGTCCCAGGCCACGGCAGCCACTGCTGAAACAGAACAGCCCCATCTGGCCAGGCAATCCAGCCCCACCCATTCCCAACACAAGCTCTGCACCCCCAGCAGAATAGCGACTGGCTAGCTAATCCCCTGGGCTCACTCCTGGCAGTGTTCAAGCTGTATTAATGAGTGCTGGAAACCCAGAGAGGCAAGTGCGGGAGCTGGGAACTTCCAGGATTCAAACAGCTGCAGTGGCCCGGGGCAAGTGGATCTAATGCCTGGCAGGGCCATGAGGCTCTGTGATCTGCCGACACATGGTATCTAGAAAGCTCAATGGGACCCAGGGCACCTGGCGAGGCCGACCCCAAGATCTTACTGCTGCTCGAGAAGGGAGGATGCTGGCTCAGGGAGGCTAGGGATGGGGATAGGAATGAGCCAGGATGTAGACTGAGGGCTGACTCAACCTGGAAAGCTCAGCTGGGTCAGTGGGAACCTCAGGCATGAGGCACTGAGGCCAGCGAGTTACACCGGTCTGAATGGCTAGGGAGGTGATCTGGTCCCTGTGTTTCTATCACTGGGTCTAGGGATCCCTGAGAGCTAAAACCAACTGGGAGATGGTGAGCTCGAGGGGCAGTGCCTAGCACCATGGACCCGGCTGGCCCCTGACTAGGGCTCCTAAGCAGTACCATGATACATGTACAAGTGCCTAGCATCTTGGGGTCCTGGCAGTGTTCCCATTAATTTCTCCCACCCGAGTGGAATGAATGTTCTTATTGCACCAATGCGGAGGGGATGTGTGACGGACACTGGTGCACCTAACAAAATGCATGTGGCAGGAGAGGAGCCAAGGGGTTCTGAGTGCAGGAAGGGGCTCGGGCAGAAGGCTGGAGCGCAGGAGTGTGAAGGCTCTGGCTGGGGATGCAGGCTCTAGGGTGGGGCTGAGATTGAGGGACTCAGGGCTGGGACAGAGAGTTGGGGTACAGGAGGAGGGTTCCAGGTTTGGGAAGGGGGTCAGGATTGGGGGTGTGGGCTTTGGGGTGGGTCCAGGGATGAAGGTTTTAGGGTGCAGGCGGGTGGCTCAGGGCTGGGGGGGAGGGAGGGTCAAGGTGGGACAGGGGGTTGGGAGTTGGGCTTACCTGATAGGGATAGCGAGGGAAGCCCCTTTCCCCCAGCCATGGCAGCACCAGTCTGGGTTTGGCAGGGAAGAGCTCTCCTCTGCCAGCCATGGCAACTTGAGGGCTTGGGGAGAGAGATCTGTCCCTGCTGCATCCCTGAACCCGTGTGGGGCTAATGGAAAGCTGTGTAGCTTAGGGGGAACATAGGTCCTGGGCCACAATTGAGCTCCTAAGTACTACCATGATACACAAATAATATACAGCACCTAATGCAAGAGGGTCCTAGTTCATGGCCAAGGCTTTATGGTTCTACCGTAATACATCTAACAAATAATTATTTTAGCCCCCTGCTCTAGAGGGGACTGATCTCCTATTCACAGTTAAGCACACGTTCAAGGGCTTTGCTAGCTCAAGCCAGGAACACCGCACAGAGAGCACCGCCCCATTTCGTCAGCATGAGTGGTCACTGGAGGAGGCATCAAACAGTAGTGTGAACAGGAAGGTGCTCCCTTCCCAGTGGGCTGCTGCAGGACAGGTCCCAGGAAGCAGGAGAACAGATGCGTGTATGGCTTTTTAAGCATCAAGCCACTCCCAGAGCAAGGAGAAACTGATCCAATTTTAAGATGGACTTTTTAAAAACAACTTAAACCACAGAAAAAAAAAAGGCCACAGAACTGCCTGTTAGGAGACAGCATTGTCCAGCGAGCTCAAGGGCTAAGAGCGTCTTTGCGCAGCGCCCAGCCCAATCCAGGGCCGAGGTGCCCAGTGCCACCGTAATACACCTAATAAAGGTAATCAGAAGTGAGAGTCAGGGCTCCTGACTCTTCCCATGGACTCACGTGCATGTTGCTGCCGGTTGGTGCCTGTTTCTCCATGTGAAAGGGGCATGATGCTTGCTTCCCTCTGGGAGACGCTTTTAAGATGCTAGGTGAGACCAAAGCACTGACTTCCTCTGGCACTGCCCCTTTCTTCTGTGTCCTGCCGAGAGCTGCATCTCAGCCTTGGGTTCATTCCCGAGACAGAACAGGCCTCGTGCTGGGAAGCTGCGGTGGTGGCGATAAGACAGCTCCCAGTGCGGGTGACCCCAGTGGTATCCCTGGATATTGTGAAGCAGTTACGGGGGGAGGTTCTAGGAACTGTTTGGAAACATCCTTCTCCCCCAGTGATTTATATCTGAAGTCAAAGCCATGGAGGAGGATGGGAGGATGCAGATAGGCTGTTCCTGACCCCCTCTGCCCGTCCCAAGAGTTCGGTCAGTGTAGCTTAGCACCAGGCCTGGCCGCTAGGGGTATCCTGCTAGCTGGAGAGGCTGGGAAGTCAGGATGGCGACAGGATTGGTGGCGCATCCTCATCAGAGTCAAACTCCACATTCTCGTCTTTCACCCATTTGCCGGAAGGGTCCTGGATCCAGCCTGAGCTGCAGGAAGGACAGACTGACAGGGTTACAAACACAGGACAGGGGGATGCCAATTTAAGAAGACAGAAGTATGGTGCTAAGGAGATGGTTTGTCTACTGACCGGACATAGGACAAGAATCCAGGACTCCTGGTTCCTTAACCAATTCTGTCAGTGCCAGTCACTCCATCCCATGCCCTGTGCCTCAGTTTCCCTCCACCTGTGAAGCCATCCCTTAGTAAACATTTAGAGACGGATGGCTGGGGAGGGCTCTATGAGACTGCTGTCCAACAGCAAAGGGCTTGGTAGGACTTAGGGGGCTTTTTCCCCTTTGCTGAGTGATGAGACAAGCTCTTACCACACAGTCTCCAGAGATCAGACCCCTGCCCATACACTCTGCTGCTTGGCAAGGAACAGGCAGAAGCCAGCTCACCTTCTGAGCAGGAGATAGTGCTCCAGGGCCTGGCGTTTCTCAGGGCTGATGGCTTCAGGCTTGGCAGACAGGCAGGATTTTCTTTTGCTGCTTCTCTTGATCTTTGTAGAAGGTTCCTTTTGCAAATCTAGAATGAGAAGAAAGGGGCAAGATGAGGCTGTGAGGCCTTGGAAGGTTGGGAGCATCACTGCCCATCAGAACCTCTGTGGAGACCTCACCACCTCTGTGGACGTACCTAGATCCAAGCTGAACCGTCAGCTCATGGCAGACGGAGATCCGGGAGCTCATTCAACAAAGGTAATGGCACTTTGGCATGTTTACAGTGATCTGTAACACTGCTTACAAAGTGGAGTGACAATGATATCTTGCACCCCACTAGGGAAACCAAGGCCTGGGTGTTTGCCCCAGAGAAACAGCATAAAATTGGTGGTGACAATAAAAAGAATCCAGGAAGCCTAACTCCCTACTCACCCTCACCCCCCTCCCCACACACTCCCCTTCCAGAACTGGAGCTAGAACCCAGGAGTCCTGACTCCCAGTCCCCCACTCTAACAAGCAGACAACAGCAATGGAATTTCCAGAGGATTACAGAAATATACAAGCTGCAGAGCCCCTCAGGCTGGTACCTGCTCGAGGGCTGGCATGTCCACGAAGCTGTGTGGAGGGAGGAATGTCCTCAGCAGCACATCCCTCTTCGCCTCTTGCCACAGAGCCTCCTGGGTCTCCTGGCTGCTTCTCCACAGCACCTCTTGAGGCAGCAGGGACAGCAGACTCTGTCCGAGAAGAACTGAAGCTTGAGCTGCTGCCATCAGACCTAAAACAGATGGCAGGTCTCATGAGGACAGTGGCAACCAGCTGCCCACTGTGCATGGCCACAGTAACAAATCTGGGACAGCATCTTGCTCTCTAGAGTCGCATCTATCAGAAGATTCCCCAAGTGACTCCTGGACAGGGAGTAACCCTCAAAGCTCCCTGTATAAGGGAAGTAAATATTCTCTCTGGCTACATCTACACTGGCAGCTTCTTGCGCAAGAACAGTTGTTCTTGCGCAAAAACTTGCTGGGTGTCTACACTTCACATACGTTCTTGTGCAAGTACATTTACAGTACAGGGTCAGAAAACAGGGCTTCTTCCAGAAGAGTTATTCCTCTCCCCACGAGGAATAAGCCCTCTTGCGCAAGAGGGCAGTGTAGACAGGCAACATGAATTTCTTGTGCAAGAAACCCCTATGGCTAAAATGGTCATCAGCAGGGCTCGCCGAGCGGCAGCGAGCCCCGCTCGCCAGCCACACGGTTCTGCGCTCTGTGCATGCACAGATCGCTCCACGCCGGCTCTTCTGGGGTGTAATCTATTTGCCACAGGTGAGGATTACACTATCTGTCGAGCCCTGGCGTGGAGCAAAAACAGTTCTTGCGCAAGAAGCTGCCAGTGTAGATGTAGCCTGTGTGTTACAGAGGGGGAAACTGAGGCACAGAGGGATGGTCCTTCCCCCCAATTTCCCATTCTAACCACCAGACCTGCTTCCTTCTTTGATCTGGGAACAGAATGCAGGATTCTTGGCTCCTTGCCCCCACTCTAACCACTAGACTTCATTCCCCTCCCAGAACTGGGAGAATCCAGGTATACTCCTAACCCTTTGCCCTAAGCACTTAAGGCTGGGAACAGAATCCAGGACCCCTGCTCTGACTGTCAGATCACACTCTTTTCTCAAAGATGTTGCCTTTACATGATACATGTTTTGCTGCTGAAATGTAAAGCAGGCACAGCAGAGACTCGCAAGCCTCTGCTCCGAGACCATTCCCACTGCACTCTTAGACTGGCCCACCAGGAGAACTTAAGGATTCAGGGACCGATCCTGAGCTGGTGTCAGCACCATGCCATAGATATCCATGGAACTATGCTAAGTGACCCCAGCTAGGTGAACGGTCCTTACAGAGGGACAGAGCAGAAGAACCTACTGCTGTGGAGATGGTGGCACTACCTAGCAGCGAAGACTTAGCCAAGACCATGCCTGGCTCTTGTACCAGCCCCCCATGCCATGACAAACCCTCGACCTAAGCTGGCAGGGAACGCACAGGTATTACCTGTTCCTTCGGCAGCAGCTGTTGTAGGGAGAGGCCTTCAGCAAAGCATTCTGGGCAATTTTCCTGGTCTGAGCCAGCAAGGGTGCAGGGCATGCAAGATCCTAAGGAAAACACAGACAAGCTAAGGACAGCTAACTAGGTAAATGCTGTAGGAAGGTTTCCCGATGGGGACACATGCCAACCTGTGTGCCTGCCTCTTCTGCCCGCAGGAACTCCTGCTGCCGCCGCTTCTGCACCTCATTCTCGTGCGAGCGCTTCTTCCCATAGAAAGTCTGCAGGCCTGGGACACACAGAGACAGACACAGGCTATTCATTTGGCGGTTCCCCATTTTTTCTCCACTCATCTGAGGAAGTGAGGTTTGCCCACAAAAACTCATGACACTCTATATATTTTTGTTAGTCCCTAAGGTGCTACAGGCCTACTCATTTTTTTACAGGCTAATCCAGGCAGCACGACTCCTCGCCAGGCAGTCTGCCACCTAGCTGGGGGTACATCACCACTGGGATACCCACAACATGGCTAACATTTTGGGATGGCATGAACTGCCACTGCCTGCCGTGTTTCAGGGGATGGATGGCTTTGAGCAATGCAAGCACCAAACCTTCCAAGGTCATTTCAGTTTGTCTTTCCCAAGATAGATAGGCAGATCACCCTGAGAGCACAGATTTTGAAGGGGTTCATGTCAGTTACAACTGATCTCTATTAGGCACCAGGAAAAGCCTTATGGAGAGGCAGATTCTCTCACATCTGTCAGTCACACCTGCCTCCGAAGCACCTGGCACTGGCCACTGCTGGGCTGAGGATACTGGCCGAGAAGGACTTTGGGTCTGATGCAGCCTGGCAGTTCCAACAGTGGTAAGACAGCTCTTTTACATCCCAGCACCACCAACTGCCCCTGAGCTCTGGGAGTCTAGCTGGATTCTTCCTTCTGCACCATCCCCACGACCCAGGATCAGCAGTTCCTTGAGCAACTGAGCCCTTGGGGCTGACTTACTAGCTACATGTTTCTTGCCAGCCCTGTGGACTGTCAGCATGTCAAGTGTGTCGAAGACCGGACGGTGGAAACACACTGTGCAGGCATATCTGAGAAAGGAGAGGAAAGATAGTCAGATCAAGCCAGGATAATCCCTGCCCCCTCATGCACACCTGCTAGGGCAGTTGGGCCCAGCCTTTCTTATTAGCATTAAGAGACAGTGCACTTGGTAATACTGCAAGTGGGAGAGACATTCACTAGAATAAATGACCATGGTCCTCAAAGTCATTCAACACAGTGGGATTTCTACAAATATAATTGGCCAAGGTTCCCAGAGCACAGGTAGCCAGGATAAATGTTACTACCCCATCTTACACGTGGGGAAGCTGAGAGATTTGCCCAACAAGTCATGATTCCCACACCAGTGTCCTGGATGCTGGACCACATGCCCTTTATTTTGTTATCTCCAGTTTGAAATTTAGGGAAACAGGTCAGAACTTAAGTGACAACCAAGGAGAGTCAAGAACTGAAACCCAAATTCCTGGCCCCATGGCCACTGGTTTATGCTCATTCTCTGCTAGGCATTTAAAAGTTTGAAAGCTGTATTCACTCTGTTCGCTTGTTATGTTGCACATGATTTCTACTGCCCTGTACTGTTCTGTAGTAATCCCTCACACCTCGGTGACACCTGTCTGAGTCTGTAATATTAGCCAGAGGCTCTCTTGGGGGCATGTGGCTCTTTTATATCTGAAGGGAAACAGGAACTGTCTGCAAAGCCAAAATGAAAACTAACCCAAAAAACAAAACACCCCAGATCAGCCTCAATGCACTGCACCCTGGATTTTGGTGGTGTTTCAAGTCCAAAGCTAGATCCAGGTTTATGTTTTACAGACCATCTTTATTTTTATAATGGGCCTGAGCAAAACATTTCTGAATGCTGGAAATCCAGATCAGAACATTTAATAAACACTACCACCCCTAGGCGAGCACTTATCAAGTGCTTTTCATCACTAGATCTCAAAGCACTTGAGAAAGGAAGGGCAGCATTGTTATCCCCATTTTACAGATGGAGAAACTAAGGCACCGAGTGATAAAGGGATTTGCTCATGGACACAAAAGAGGTTTGTACCAGAACAGGAAGAATCCAGGTGTCCTGCCTCCCACTTTGGTACTCTGTGCATTAGGTCACGTGGTCAATTTTGCAGCTTCAGCCCCCAAAATATATGCAGTAATCAATTAATTGAACTGGTTCAAAGATTCATCTGTAATCTGATTCCTATGGCACATGGTCCTCTCAGAACAATGCTGCCTACCTTAGAATAGATCTAACATACCTGCCGCTCCTTAGCAACAGTGCCTCATCCTCAGGGATATAGTTTGCCAGCAGATCTGCAACTCTTCTTTTCTGAATAAATGAACAGGCCACGTTACTGAGGAATCAATATTTTGGGTGTGGGCGGCATAGCACCTGGCACCAGGATGAATTGGGCCCTTCCATGAAAAATGAGTCACGGACCATGAAACCTGGACATCCATTGTGAAATCTGGCCTTTTGTTTGCTTTTATCCTATACTATACAGATTTCATGGGAGAGATCAATGTTTCTCAAATTGGGGGTCCAGACCAAAAAGGGAGTTGTGTGTGTGTGTGTGGGGGGGGGGGGGTCACGGTAATGCCACCCTTATTTCTGCGTTGCCTACAGTTGAGTGGCCATAGAGCCATGGCTGTTGCTGGGCACCCAGGTCTGAAGGCAGCATCCTGCAAGCAGCAGCACAGAGGTAAGAGAAGCAATACCATGCCATGCCATCCGTACTTCTGTGCTGCTGCTGGCAGCAGCTCTGCTTTTAGAGATGCTCAGCTCTGAAGGCAGCACTGCCACCAGGAGCAGTGCAGAAATAAGGGAAAAGTACCACAGTCGTCCCTTCCCCCCACAACTCCTGCTGCAATTACAACACCTTGAAATTTCAGATTTAGATAGCCAAAATAAGTAAATGTATTATTTTAAAAATCCTGTAACCATTAAATTGACCAAAATGGATTGTAATTTTGATAGGGGCCTATAGAACAACCACCACCACCTCTAGATCTTATCTAGTGCTTTTCTACTGTGGGACTCAGAGCACTTTACAAAGGAGGCTGGTATTATCATTATTACAATTTTACAGATGGGAACATTGAGGCACGGAGCAGGGCAGTGACTTGCCCAAGGTCATCCTGCAGACCAGTGGCAATGGCTAAGAATAGAACCCAGGGCAGCAGGAGAAGGGGGCCAGAAGGCAGGCGCCAAGGGCTGAGGAGTGTTGTGGGACCACTCTGGGGATGGGGGAGTAAAGAGGAGGGGGGAGTAGCAGGGAAGCAGCCGGGGGGGAGGGGAGCCG